AAAGATCGCTCTTTTTTTTAACTCTCTATGCCTGTGTTTTCCTTTTTCCCAGCTGCTGATGATGAGTAAGGAGATAGATGTGCGAGAACTCGACTTCCTGCTGCGCTTCAACATTGACCACAACTATGTCAGTCCCCTTGACTTCCTCTCCAGCTCGGCGTGGAGCGCCATCAAGGTTCACATCTGCAGACGTACTGGGCTTGTCTGTGCTGTCTGCGAATAAACCGCAGCTTAATCAGCTTCATATGCTGTTGCCTGTTTGTGCCAAGGTAATGAGTTTTACCGATGAGTTTCGGGGTCTGGATCGGGACGTCGAAGGTTCACCCAAGCGCTGGAAGAAACTGGTTGAGTCGGAGTGTCCGGAGAAGGAGACGTTTCCCCAGGAATGGAAAGGGAAAAGTTCCCTTCAGAAACTGATCATGATGAGAGCCCTGAGACCAGACCGGATGACATATGCTCTTAGGTGATCTGGGTCTCATTTTTACTTTCTTTGCTTTTTTAGATATTGCTCCGTGTTTGCATGAATACGAAATCGACGTATATGGTTCTTACATTTTTTGCATCTATTCTTAAAAGAATGAGCCTTTTGTACACTTCTTTGTTGCACATTGTAGGAACTTTGTGGAGGAGAAGCTGGGGGTTAAGTACACAGAGGGTCGAAAGTCCGAATTTGCTAAATCGTTTAGAGAAAGCGGTCCTGCCTTTCCCGTGTTTTTCATTCTCTCACCTGGAGTGGATCCACTAAAAGATGTGGAATCGTTGGGTAATAAACACAAAGAAGCATGCATGCACAAATCAGTTACCAAAACATGACACATACCTATTGGGGACAGTAGCATTGTGTTTCTACACAGAATTGCCTGGTCATTATTTCTATTTTTCTTTCTTTCTTTTTTTTTTTTGTTCAATTCTAATCTTTAAATTTTTCCACGTGTGTTCCCAGGAAGAAAGCTGGGTTTCACTATAGACCTGGGAAAGCTTCACAATGTGTCTTTGGGTCAAGGACAGGAGAGTGTGGCTGAGGTTGCCATGGAGATGGCTGCCAAGGAGGGTCACTGGGTCATACTGCAGGTCTGCTTGCAAGAAAAGAATGAATAAGAACCAATTTTATGCATATTCATGGTTTTGGTGTCTACACTAAGCTGAGTTTTAAGTATGGTACAAATGCTGTTTGATTACAGAACATCCACCTGGTGGCTCGCTGGCTGGGAAAGCTCGAAAAGCTTCTGGAGTGCTGCTGTGAGGACAGCCACCCAGACTACAGAGTGTTTATGAGCGCAGAGCCAACATCTACTCCCCAAGAACACATTATACCGCAGGTGAACGTTGTTTACACACAGTAGTGTCTTTTTTCTCTCTTTCTCTCTTCATTCACTGTCCCTCTGAACCATTTACACAATAATGTGCCTAAAATGCTAAATGCATATGTAAGTATTAAATTATTACTTTTTGCATGTGTTGCTTAGGGCATTCTGGAAAATGCCATAAAGATCACCAATGAACCTCCTACAGGCATGCACGCCAATTTGCATGCAGCTTTGGATAACTTTGACCAGGTCTCTGAATTTCACAAAACATACGGACTTATCGTAATAGTTTCACTAAATGTTTTCTTGTCACATACTTTATTCCTCACGTTCTGGCTTCTCTGCAGGACATTCTGGACCAGTGCAGCCGCGAGCAGGAGTTCAAGACCATCCTTTTCTCTTTGTGCTACTTTCATGCCTGTGTGGCAGAGAGGAGAAAGTTTGGACCGCAGGGTTGGAACAGAAAATATCCGTTCAACACCGGAGACCTTACTATATCGGTTAATGTTCTCTATAACTACCTGGAGGCGAATGCACAGGTGCAGTGTGTCTTTATTGGGATTGTTTGCGGTGGTGCTTGCATTTAGTAGTTATTGAGTTGAAGTTATACTGACAAAGGTTCCATGGGAGGACCTGAGGTATCTGTTTGGGGAGATTATGTATGGAGGTCACATCACCGATGACTGGGACAGACGACTCTGCAGGACGTACCTGGAAGAATATATGCAGCCCAACCAGGTTGGTTCTAAAAAATAGGTGAGAACATTTGGGTGTATTCTGCCAAGGACAGACTTGATGTTAATAGTTATATGCTGTGGGACTTTTTTTTTTTTTTTTTTTAATCATTCATGGACAACTTTCTACAGATATTGGAACCCTAAATTGCACTCCTTACGAAAATATAACGATGGAGAAAGACCGACAGTCAGTTCCTAGGTTTAGGAGAAAAATAACTTTTTCACATAGAAGAAATTTTTGTTTGGACAACATTTTTTCCCTTAGTTAATAAAATCATTATTTAGAAATTGAATTTTATTTTTAGGTTATTTTAGTCTGAGACAAAATTTATAATCTCAAAAATGTAGTGAGATAAAAGAAAGAAGAAATCTCTAAAGTGGACAAACATTTTTTCCCATCTCGTTATGGAGGCCATATTGAATGTGAATTTCCATTTCGGCCTTAGAATTTGTTTCACTTTGACTCCTGATAATCAAGCTGATCAGAAGTCCATCAGCCACTATGAGGGAAATGTTAATGCTTTGTCCAGAGCATTAATCTAAAGAGTAGTAATTTATTTCTTTTCTTTCTTTTTTTTCCCCAGTTTGATCGGAAACTTTTGTTAGCACCAGGTTTTGTTGTTCCCTCCAATCTGGATTATCAGGTAAGTTAAAGCAAATATTGCTAAAGCGGTTTAATTATCCTAGTTTTTTGCTGCAGTATTTATTGCTGAACTAACCCTGAGGGCCTCACTGTCTACAAGGCATATTTTGACATTTTACATGCATGTCTCTGAAAGTACGTCAGACGCATTCACCCGCTAATTGCATTTGATTCATCTCAGGGCTACCACGAATTCATAGATGAGATGCTGCCCCACGAAAGCCCAGTTCATTACGGACTGCACCCAAATGCAGAAATCGAGTTTCTCACCGTGATGTCGGATAATCTTTTTCACACTCTGCTGGAACTGCAATCTCCCGATGCTGTGATGGGAGAGGGAGCTTCACAGACGCTGGAGGAAAAGGTGGACATCATCTGTCCTAAAGCAAAAACTAAAACCAACGAAAATATTCCACTAGTAACAAAACCGGAACTTCTCCTCAGATTCTGACAAGAATGCATCAGCGAACCTAATGTCATTAACATGTTTTTTTTTTTTCCCTGTGTGTTGATGAATTAAAAAAAAAAAAAAAAAAACTTTCACTTGCAGGTGAAAACTATTTTAGATGAAATTCTGGAGAAGCTGCCAGAGGAATACAATATGTCGGACATAACATCCAAAACAGCTGAGCGGTCGCCGTACATCCTAGTCTGCTTCCAGGAATGCGAGCGGATGAACATGCTCATTTTCGAGATCCGCCGCTCACTGAAGGAGCTCGACCTCGGACTCAAAGTACGTAGAAAGACGGATTAATGAACATTATTAGACCTCTTGTGTCCTACAATCTGCCTGATAGACTTTCCTATTTCCATGTACGTAGTGACATAATATAGTTGTTTATGTAAAGGGTGAACTGGCCATATCCTCAGAGATGGAGAAGCTGCAGACAGCCTTGTTCTTCGACAACGTCCCCGATACTTGGACCAAACTGGCCTACCCTTCAACCTACGCCTTGGCTGTATGGTATGTGTTTCGGCTATAATGGAGTATTTGTGAATGCTTCTTTAGAAGGTACCTTTAGGTATTAAGGATAATTTAGCATCATGTCTGATGCAACTCAAAAGGCTGGCACGTATCTGTGACCAACACAATTTCCGATCAATCAGTCTTTATGTGTATAACCTTTTTCATTAGATTCTGTGTAAGAAAAAGCTTCATGGAAGTACTCTGTGTCTACAAGAGAACGCTGAGTATTAAAAAGTAAAAGTGAAAACAAAAAGAAGATGAAATAATATAAGTAAAACTGATCAAATAAACAGCTAAAATAAGTAAATATTAAAATTCGTAACTAATTACGAAAAGGGATATGAAAATCCCTTTTCCTGTGTGTGTGTGTGCATACAGGCCAAAAAAGTGAAATTGTGGTAACATAAAATAGTAAAATATCAAATGGTAAAAAAAAAAAAAAAAAAGTTGCATTAAAATGTGAATAACAACATTTAAAACCTTATTTAAAAGTGCAACAGAAAGTGAGAGACACTCCTTATCAACAGGTACAATGACGTGATGCAGCGCTGTAAAGAGCTGGACAGCTGGACCCAGGACCTGTCTCTGCCCAGCGTGGTCTGGCTGGCTGGACTGTTCAACCCGCAGTCCTTCCTGACTGGTAACACAGGCTAGAACTTTACTGAGACATATAATAACTTCTCTTGATTCCTACATGACCGTTTTCCCTGGAAGAACATTATCACGAGCAGATGTCTTCAATTTGTCCCCGTCTTCTAGCCGTGATGCAGTCTCTGGCGCGTAAAAATGAGTGGCCTCTGGATAAAGTGAACCTTACCGTAGATGTAACGAAGAAATACAAGGAAGAATTCAACCAACCTGCCAGAGAGGGTGCATATGTGTATGGATTGTACATGGAAGGTAGATACTGTTGTTTTGTACATTCATGCTGCAGCTTTGGAATAACAAAATGACCCATTTTGTGGGCTTGGATGGCGTCTGTATCCGGTGTGAAAATGCAGCCTCGTTCGTCCATTTTCTGACTGCATCCCAGGTGCCAGGTGGGACACTCAGACCGGAGCGATAGCCGAGGCTCGCCTGAAGGAGCTGACCCCGGCCATGCCCGTGATCTCAGTCCGAGCCGTACCCAACGACCGTCAGGAGACCAGAAACATCTACGAATGTCCGCTTTACAAGACCAAGATCAGAGGACCGACATATGTGTGGACTTTTAGTCTGAAAACCAGGGAGCGCCCAGCCAAGTGGGTGCTGGCAGGAGTGGCCCTGCTGCTCAGTGTCTGAATAGCCTGAGCCGATTTCATCTCGTTTGCTTTTACACTAAACTAAAGCAACGTTGCTGCAGTGGAATCAAACAGATTTTCTTTTTATTGAAAAATGATACAATATACAGAGGGGGGGCGGAAAATGCCAAAATTTCTCACACTAGATCACAGAACTGATGAAGTCTAAGCATGTTTAACAAATCAAATCCACAAACTACAAAATATCTTAAAAGCAGGAGGAGAAAAAAAACAACAGTGCTGCCTTATTAGTGTGGCATTCAAGTGCATCGTTTTGTCACACTTGTACCTCTTACAGTATGTTATGCAGCAGTTTAAAAGTTATTTAAACTACACAGGTGAAGTCAGTCTGAGGACTTGTCGGGACAGCACACGTCGCCCCTTTCAGACACGCTTGTTTGTGTTTATCTGATGCTGACAGAACATATCAGAATGAGCACAAAGGTCACTTTTACACACCTTGAAAACATATTCTTTCTGAAAGTAAAGTCCTTGTTCCTTTTATCTGGCACAAGTCTTGCAGTGTGAAAGAACTGCAGACATGTCTCAATGTCTGAAAGTAGTTTCCTGTCCAGAAACCTGATCTATCTTTCGTGCTTTGTCTGACTCCATTTTATGTTGCAACGATCTATTATGCTGGGACACCTTGAAATATTAAGCATCACGAAAGAGTTTATGTGTAAAGAATGTCCCTTTGGCTTTTTTTTTTTTTTTTACCCTTGCTTTAGGCATTCACTGCAGTACCTATTTCAAGCAACAGATGTCACTGCAGATCAAATCTGCATGCGTTCAGCAAATGAATGCAGAAGAATCTATGGCGTAAAGACTTCCAACTACAACGCTTGACCTTATAAGTGTTACATTTTAGCTGTTTCTATAAGTCAGTGTGACACTTTGCAAAGTGAGCATTTTGTTGTAAAATCGAATGTTTCTTCTTGATGTTCTTTGTGTGTTTTTTTAGCACCACTCCCACTGTGCAGAAACTGTTGCAAAACTTGAAATGTGCGATTGGCTGAAACGACAGAACAGTCGCTCTGCAGACAATGTTTGCGCTTCTGCGGCGAAACGGTGGGTATACACAAGGTGTTATGCAAGGTGCATTCAGTCTGACTGGTAAGACCAGGCGAGCTGAAAATCAAACATACTTGCAGCTGGATTCAAAATTCTTGTCGACGGCTGATCTAATCTCTGTAATGAATGAATTCGTACATCTCCACGTATAGGAGATATACGAGACATGTAAAAGTGGCCTTTGAAAAACTGACCGCCATTGTCGTTGCAGTCGTCGTGTTAAAAAGCTGATGTCTGAAAGGGGCTCGGATTGCTGTGCTTTCTCCTGAAACACATGGGTGCATTATTAAACTTCGTTAAAAAATGATTTGCATCTGCCTCATCTGAAGGCTGCGACACAACCCGTAGGTCACATGCTCTCTGTGCAAACAAGTTAAACCGTTTTTTTTTCCCGTTTCTCCTTTGCCGTGACCGCATGTTACCCCCATGTGCTTCCTAGTCGCTGTCGGACCAGTCGAGCTCCATCATGTCCATGGCGGAGGTCGCCATGTTGATCTTTGTTCCGTGTCGCACGCTGCAGCTCTTCACAGAGTTCTGATTGGAAGACGCCCGCATGCTCACCTGCATCCCGGAGAGACCGACAACCCCGACTTCGCCTCTTATCTTCTGGCTGATGGCCTCGCTGAGGTCACCCCTGACTCCCTGGACCACAACCCCCATGTCACTCCTGCGACCTCTGACGCCCACCTCGCTCCTGACGCCCTGACCCCTCACCTTCATCACTCCCAGGTCGCCCATGTTCACATTCATGTCCATGTCGCCAAGTCTGTCCATCTCCCCCATCTCATCCATGTCTAAGGACAGCATGTCCCCCAAGCTACCAAAACTCCCTCGGAGACCCTTAAACATGGACGGCAGCCTGCTTCCCTCAATCCCTCCCTCCACCCCTCTCTCCTCTAATTTATCCCCTAATTTTTCTGTCTCCCACCCCCCATCCTTCTCACCCTGCTCCTCTGTTTCGCCGAATCCTCCTGAGTACCCTCGAACTATCGTGGTCACTCTGCTTCTCTGCATGCCGCCTCGCTCCCTGTCCCCTTCCTCCCAGGTTCTCTCCTCCCTCTCGACGACGCCTCCCGGGAAGCTCCTGAGTGTTACCTGCACCCTCCCCCCCTCAAGACTCCCGCTATCATTTTGCTCCTTATGCCCCCAATCTTTCTCCTCAATAGTACCTTCGTCTTCCCTGTCTTCTTCGAACCTCCCCTGTAACCCTCGGAGCATGACGTGCAGCCTGCCGCTGTCGAGAGAACCCAAGCCCCTCTCCATGACGGCGCTGCTCCCTCGTTCTGTGTCTCCGTTGCTGAGTGTGCGGAGGAGACAGCTGACACCGGCGCTACTGACCCCGGCGCTGCTGAGGCTGGCGCTGTTGGAGTCCTGGGAGTGTGAGCGGAAGAAGGAGCCAGAGGAGCCGATGGACATTGGTGTGAAGAACTGATCAAAAGAGGAAAAGACGAAGTGATGGAAAAGCTCTCCGAACGCATCCAGTTTTAACGGTATTTTATGGCTCATTCTTACCGGGGAAATGTTTGAGCGGTCCATGAGTAAAGAGGTCGGACTGGGAGTCATGTTGGACCTCTCCATCAGCCTCTCCTCCCACAGTTTGAGCCTCCTCTCTCTCTCCTCCAGCTCCTTCTCCTTGGAGTACAGCTCCCTCTCCAGCTTCCGGAGGCGTTCAAGGGTTGATTCAATTTCACATCTGCCAAAGTCAACGCAAAGATGCATGCAGATAAAATATTAGTCATGACTAACCACCAAAAGCCTAACTGCACATCAAAAGCCTCTCAAAATAAGGAAATCTATGAAATGCCAAATCGGCTGTTTTAATGCGCCGAGCTGCTTTAATTACGCAAGCAGAGCATTACTTTTTAGAAAAAGAAAAATCTACATTGTCTTGCACGCTGAAAGAAAACACATTTAGACTTTGAGTTTTATTTTGTTTTAAAAAATGTCAATAACAGCATCTCAACCATTTTTTAAACCAAAATGTACTTGTTCTATTTCCAAAATATCAACTTAAAGCCATTGGCAAGACTAAAATTCTATATACTATGCTGCAAAAGAGTATTTATCCCCACTCATATTACTTTGGCTTTTCCTTATTTATATCAAAGATCATGTCTGTAAATTAAAAAAAAAAAAGCATTTAAAAAAATGTTTAAAGAAAAAGAAAAACTGAATCTGGTTTTACCTTAAGTCTATTTACCTTGTTCTAAAAAAATAAATGGGGGAGGGTTCAATTTCACGCCACACTACACACAGGTCTGATTACTATCTGACCTGCAGCATGAAAATGAAAATCACTTTTGAGAGGCCTGTCTGACCACATGAAGAAGACTGAAAGATCTCCAAAAGCAGGAAGTCCCATCAATGAAAACTGAGAACAGCTATGAAACAAATTCATTCACATCTATCCACAGATTCCTTGCAAGAGTGCTTTTACGACTCGCCTGTAAAATCACAAAAACAGAATAACGATGTAGCATGTTTTTTGCTGCAGTACCGTCTGCTTCCACAAAAGGTCACTGTTGGAGCGAGGGCCTGCCTGTGATCTTTAAGCACGCTCTCACAAACAATCACCTCTCAGCAGCTAAATATAGACCGAGCCTGGATGCACGGCCATACCTCCTGTGTTCCTTCAGTGCACCACTTCCCCACACGTTCATCCCGCCCCTTCACCTTCTGCGCTTTGCCTCCCCCCTCACCCCCAAAGCCACCTCTGTGTCCAAGTTTTTCCATCCATGCCCAAACCTTCACTCAGAAATGATTGCCTTCGCTGTGCTCATGTTAAATATGCACAGAATCTCACACCATCCTTCCTCTGGTCCAATGCCCACATCTCCTTCCCTCCTTTCGTCAGTCCGCCCTTGTTTTTGCTTCCATCCTCGTATGTTTCTCTCTCTCTCTCCCACATTTCAGATTTCACACACACATTTACTGTTCCTCCCTAAACTTCTCCATTTTGACTTTTGAGATGTTTTTTCTCTATGTCCCACATCCACCCTCCTCCACCCCACAACTTTTCTGTGTACCCCCTCCTCCGTCCCTGTGGAGGAGTAGAGGAATCTCTTCCATGGACACTTTCCAGGGAGCTTAATATAGACCCAAGCTGAGTACAGGGTCACTTATGCAGCTTCTCTTCTGCGTTTCAGATTCACACAGACTTTTGCATGTACGCATGTGTGCGGTGTTGTTGAATACCCTGTGCGTCCACAGTAAATCGTCGAGTGCTTCTGATCATTCAGCGGTTTTTATGCGTCATCTTTCATTTATGCGCCAGTCTGTGTGTTTATGCGTGTGTACCTCCACTGGTCTTTGTTATGTAGGAAGGAGTTGCACTGGTCTGGCAGCCTGCTGTCGTTCGCCATGGACTCCAAGGTTAGCAGCACCTGCTTGAATTGCGGTCGTTCCTGCAGATTAGACCGAGAATAGAATGTGAAAACTTCCTTTTTCCACCGAGGGAAACAAAATGTTTCACACTTTTCCCCACAGGCAGTTTGTCTTACCTTTGGATCTGCTTGCCAACATTTCCGCATCAACTCTGCAAAACTCGCAGGGCAGCTGGTGGGAATGGTTAGCCTCTAGATACACACACACACACACACACAAAGAAACTATCTGTGACCAAATATGCAACAATGGCATTCAAGAAGAGCAGATGAGTAAACGGGCCCTGTGAGGCAGCACTTCCTCCTATTTTGGTGGATCATAACATTATGGTGACAATCCAGGCACGCTAATGCGCAGCAGGTACGTTTGCCAGACCTGCCATTTTAGCTTAGCACATTAGCTTGCTGTCATTTGTCAGCAGCCACAATTACAACTAAATGACAAGATGGGTTTTGAACGACATCATTGGGACTTTGGAAGAGCTGCCCTTTTCGATCCAGTAATCAGTCATGATTTCTTTTAAAAAAAAAATTGTCCTGTCAAGTAACTTAGATTTACTGCTTTTTTTTTCCCATCTGGGAACAGTTTGTGCTCTTCCCCCCCAAACATCCAGCCAGAACTTAATCATTGTACTTCTTCTGATACATTTCCAGCTAAATTCCTCAAAAATGAAATGTTCCACATTACAGCCTTTTTCAATGATTTGTTTTGACTTTCTTCTTTAGATTCTTCCATAAAACTCAGACTCGTATTAGTGTCTGACTAATATTGTCTTTTCAGAGGATTCTCCCACCTGCAGCTCCTCCAGAGCTACCACTGGTGTGTTAGCACCTTCTTTGGCTAACGGTCTCCTTGGCCAAACTTTTGTTATTTATGTACAGCGGAGTTTGCTCAAACGTAAGGGGACTTCTGAAGGCAATAGGTTGGGCTGGTGTGTTTAGGGGACATCAGTAAAGCCTTGTGAATATATGTAGGCTGTTTTTCTCTGGCTTTTTACTTGGAAATTGAAAGTTTTCCCATCTGAAGGACATTTGTGGTTGTAACATGACAAGGTAATGGAGACATGAAGACTTGTTCAATACAAGCTGCTTTTTTTTGTGTCCGTTCAAATAAGTGCAGTACTTTTAAACGTGGATCTTTAACTGAAAGCACAGCTGAGCTCAGTTAATTTAAAAGTTAAAAAAAAAAATCATCCTTTCAAACATTTGCAGAAAACGTCTTGAAGTATATTCTAATAATCAGCAGAAACTCAATTCGGTTAACTTACAGATTTAAAACCCCCGGCGGCATAATCATAGGTCCCAATAAGCCAAAACGGCACCATAACCCAGGGCAGTAAATGGAAACTTTTTTTTTTTTCATTGGGGATTAATCCTAAAATATCTGCGACTCAGAGTGGAGAGAGGGTGAGTTGAAGGGTCAGGAAGAGATGTGTATCTATGGTGAGAGGAAATCAGACAGACTGGGAAAGAGGAAGAGAGAGACACAGCCCTGAGTTATTTAGGGAGAGTATTTGGAGATTAGCCAGTAGTTATGCCGGAATCATGTTCTCCTGGTTGTTTGTTGACCACCAGTGTCCGTGTGTCCGTGTGTGTAAATGTGTGGCTGCTGAGGTCATTAGCTGAAACACAGACCTTGTGTAACCACCACAGCCTACCACTTGTAAACCTCTAAAATCCACCCTCCCATCACTACATTTTTCCCTCTCCCTCGCTCGTGCTTGTAAAGCCTCTAGCCTGGAGAAAGCCTGATCGGGCTCCGCTGCTGTGTATCCAGGTCTTACATGAACACAGACCTGACATCACGCCTATAAATACTCAGCCAAAAGCGCTCACAGTGGAAACCATGAGAGCATCGCATTGTGCCTTTGGCTGTCCGGGACTCTGATGGGTCAGCATGCTGGCGGCGGGTTAGTGAAGGTGTGTGAGCATGCGTGGAGTACCTCTTGCTTTTCCACCACCAGCCACGCAACCTGAAGCCCCTCGAAACCTTTGAAAGGAACCTCCCGAGTCAGCATCTCCCACAGCACCTGGCGACAAGGCATTAGGATTATTTACAAAGAGACAATCTGGCCCAAAACTGAGGAAACTATGTCCTTTATTTAAATAAACTCACACCAAAAGTACATTTTAAGTGTTTACTTCTTTGAATTTTTATTACTAGCACTTACAACTAATGATTCAGTTCCTCAGATAATTAGGATATTGCATATGAACAATAAAAAAATAAGTGCAAATGTAGTAATGGTATGTTTCTGTTACAACCCAGGACAGACTGCTGACTTGACAGTCGTACAGCAGCAAGTCAGCGAGACTCCGCAGGGAGGGCAGCATACATAAGGTCATTGCTAAAAAAAAATAATAATAAAAAAAAGCTGGATGTTTACTGAGTTTTTAACTACAGAAAGTTGAGTGGAAGAATAAAATGTGGTAGAAAAAAGCCACAGGAATGACCACGGTCTTGAGAGAACTGTGAGGCAAAGACCCTGTTTTAAAAGTTCACAAGAAGAAACCCAGGCTGTCGGTGTGTTAAGAGCCACCATGAGGAGATGTAGCCCCAGAAATGGGCTACAGATCTCACATTCATTTTGTTCAAGCAAAAATAATGACGTAACTACGGGGCTGTTCCTCGGTGGTCCAAATACCTCTGTTCCATTTAAAATAAATGTGTTTCATTTATTTGGCAATCAAGGTCCCAGAGTCTGGAAAAAACAATAGGGAACCACATGATCCGATCTGCTTGAGGTCCAGCGTGACGTCATTGTCTTTAGTGATTTGGGGTGTTATGTCTTCTGCTGGTGCCGGTCTACTGCGTTTTATCAAATCTGTAATCAGAGCAGCCATCTAATAAAAAGAGCGCCTCATTCTTTCTCCTGCTGACGAGCTTCATGAGACGCAGTTTGGGTGGAAGTATCAGTAACTTGTTTAATGACCGTGGTGTGACCGCTGTGTTTGACCAGCCAGCAAACTGACCAAACCAAAACCCTACAGAGCAGCTGTGCTGTCAGACCAGCAGACTTTGCTTCCTTAACGCTTCAGCAGCGCCTGCATGCCACGCTGCATGGATTTGGTAATTCATGCAAAAGGAGCCTCAACCAAAAGTTGCATAGATAGGCAATTAATATACAAAATTTAAGGTTTTCATTAAATGTAAGCTAAAAATTATCTTTTTTTTTTTTCAGTCTGAGTGAGATTAACCTACTTGTTTCACTGCGTAACTTAAATACACTTTCCAATAATATCGATTTGTTGAAAATGGATGTTTCGGAATTTAAAATGAGCACTTGGAATATAAATCACTGTGTTTAAGAGTTATAATTGCTGAAATGCTTTGCTGAAATAATTCACTTTCATCATAATTTTCTTAATTTTTTAGATGCAAATTTATGACTAAATGTGTAGATACATTTAATAAAAAAAAAAAAATTTCAAAGCCACCGATTGTGACATTTTGATTCCATGTAATCGACTTACCACACCGTATGAGTAGGTGTCGCAGGTCTCAGAGACGGGCAGACTCTGAATAACCTCAGGAGCCATCCAGGGAAAAGTGCCCACCACCGTCATATGGGTGGTGTGAGATAGAAACTTAGAGGCTCCAAAGTCACATATCTGAAAGCCCAACATGAGAACGTTAAAGTATCCTGTTACAAATGTGTAGTGCATCTTTATAAATAAATGATAAGACTGTTGCTGCATACCTTTAGCACTTTATCTGCAGTCATTACCACTGTAACCAGAAAACACAAAGCCCCGGTCAGAGCTTAGCAACATGCAGTTTGCTGTTGTTGCTCAAAAGCAAATGCATCGCAAGACTGAAGCTGGACAAAGGATCATGTTACCGTTTCGCGATTTGAGGTCTCTGTGTATCACTTTGACTGGAGCTTCTGCGTGGAGGTAATGCATCCCTGGCAGGAAGCGAAGTCAGAAGGACAAACGACATGTTTTAGACTTTCCGATCCATTGTTTTTTTTTTTTACAATGATGTAGCAGCATACCAAACCTAGTATAAAAATCCTCTTTGTGACCTCAAACTACAAAGTCAACCACTTCTAATCAGCGCGAGTCTTTTTCATGCACTAGATTACAAAGACTAAGGCAGAAAAAAAATGATATAAACAGAAGCAAGATTTGAAAATTGCCTTAGCTTAAAGCAAAGTGGACTTGAAATCAAAATCATCCCTGCAACTGATAATTTTGGCAGAACAGCATTTTTTTTTTGTTGAGATTATAAACTGTGAACAAATAAAGTGTAGAGGATTCGTAGGATCACACGTCGATGCGGTGGCGCCAGAAAGCATTCATACCTTTTCACTTTTTACACATTTTACTATGGTGAAGTCTGGCGAAAGAGGGCCTCATGTTAGTCAATGTGTGTGTGTGTAGAGGATGCAGAGGTCAGGGCTAAACAAGGACTGATGAGGTGCGCTGAATACTGGTGGAAAAAGAGAAGAAGAAGAACTCTTCTTTCCATCCCAAAACCTCTGGAGTCTCCATTGTTTAGAAATTGAAGAAGTTTGGAACCACTTACTTCGCAAATGTAGCCCCCAGACCTCACTAAGTAATTAGCCACAGCTCATCACCTGGCTAACATCAGCTCAATGCTTGCTCTGCACACAGAGGATTACAGCAGCCAAATGTAGAGAGATTCTTCTAGAAAACCCGCTTCGCCTTCCAACATAACAAGGACAACCTGAAGAAGCACACAGCCGAAATAACAAAGTGGCTACAGAGCCAGTCTGGCCATTTATTTTGTTGGCTCAGCCAAAGCTGGGATTCATATCCACTTGAGCATCTCTGGGAAACAAAACTAAACTAAAAAATGTCAAGCAGACTGAGCATAAAAGGATTGGCAAAGAAGAGCTGTAGTAAATACCAAAGAACAAGCATGCCAAGGCTGTGGACAGATTTCTGAAAAACATCTTTTCACTGTGTCGTCATGAACCGTTTTGTGTATTTTGGTTTGTTTTCTTTATCGAAACTACATGGAAACCAGTTCTGATATAAGTCAGTAATGGAAAAAAGTAATCAGGCCAGAAAGCGTTCTGGTCTGGTGGGAGTATCACTGAACGCTGAATGACTGTGTGTGTTTTTTTTTTTTTTTTTTTTTTTTGGATTTTTTTTTTTTTAAAAGGGCCAAAAAATTTTCTTCGATTATTGGTCACAGTTCTGTTTTTCAACCTTAACAAGCACGCAGAATAAAATATGTAGGTTGTTATCCAGATTTATTGATCAGAATCATTTTCTTATCCAACATCCACGGCTGAAAATGATCTAAAAACGAACAACTTCTGCTATCTTATCTGTAATCTACCTTAAGCCCATTTAATATTTAGAAAATGTACTTTTTGTATTCTTAACATTAGTTACCCCTTGAGCTCTTTGACATCTCGCCCTGTAACTACCAGAAACATCGATGGATTGTATTAATGATCATTTAATATCGATCTGTCATTGGTGTCTTCACCAGAGGTTCCTCTAATATTTTCAATGTGGTGCCCAAATGTGCGCCAATTATGATTTTGGCTGGCATAATAAAAAATCCTTAAATTCTATTCTTGCTCTTTGGTTTAGGTTTGTAAACAGTAATAGAGTTATGGATTTAAAGGTGGAGCTTTATAAAAGACAAAAATCAAAAACAGGAGTAATTAAAATCAATAAACGCACCTGCCGATGAATCCGCTCTTCTCATTTTGTTTTTTAAATCACTAAAAAGTGAGTGGGATCAGCAAATTTAGAGACTCTTGTTTTTAAATACCAAAATACTTTTTTTTTTTTAAATGTTTTTTTTTTAGAACTTTTAACAGGACGTCACCGATGATACAATGAATATTTATAAACTATTTTCTTTAGAATAAGAATGTTTTCTGTCTTTATTCTTAAATATGTCTAATTATTGATCAAATTACTGATGTGTTTAAATATTGAAGGAAACAATTGATACTATCCCCTTGTAAAATATATTGTCATTGCAGCATGAGATATTTGAGGAAAACCTAAGGGGTTTATGTACAAGCCCCCCTGTATGATCAATTTGTTCAGTAAAATCCTTTTTTGCTGGATCTGTCATAAATTAAAATTCAGATAAAAGGCGAAGCATTTCGACTTATTCGTTTAATTAATTAGAGATTTCACCTGCTGATACTGGCCTGGACATTTGAGTTTCAGACCAACCGTAAACCGGACGATTCCAGATGTGGCTCTCTAAATAGTCACAGCAATGCGCAAAGTTTACCTTTGGCTATTTGAATGGCCCACGTCATGATTTGCTCCATGTCCATTTCTTCACTCTGCTCACTGGAAATGTAATCATACAGAGACCCTCCACTCGCATATTCTGCAAAGCAATACACACAAGCAAAAGTTGACAATCCCCAGAATATATATTAACGTCTATATATGACTTAGAATAAACACCGTCTTCTGATTGCGCTTTTCTAAGTCTAGTAACTCCAACATTGGACGAAGCTGTACTTTTATTCCAACTCTACAGCAATATTCAGGATTACAGGCCAAACGTTCTGGACTCGGTTGCAAACTTTGTGCCAGGAAATGGAGAAGGAATCCTCTAATCATCCATATAGATATCAGAGCATGTGATGTAACGTGTGTGTAACTTTGTCCATCTCAGGTCAAATGCAGGAAACTAATGGACACAATCGCAGGCTTGTATATTTATACAAAACAATGTGTACAATCGCTCTGGAATTACCTAGTGTTACTCTTGCAAATTGTCTAGTAAATCACTGCATCTACACTTAATATTTCGCGTCTGCAGCAACCTATTGAGCTTTAAGTTACTGCGCGCCATCTCAATGAGTGTCACGGAGAAGACACAGGATGTGGGGTCTGACCTGTGACAATGCCATAGTTGGGAGGTTCCAGCACAGCTCCATAAAACTGAATGATGTTCTTATGACTCAGTACGCTGAGAATCTCGGCCTGGATGGGGAGACAAGGCAAAGACAGACTGAGAAACATAAACACTTTCATTGGGAAACTCCCTAAGTTTTCCAGTATCTGGCACCGGTATAAAACAAGCCGTCTTTAGGCTGAAAGGGGGGGGGGGGGTAGAAAAGAAACAACTAAATGTTAGTCAGTAACAGGGCCTGCAGTAGCCGAGGGCTGAATGTTTTTCATTCCGAGTCTCCAAAGAGTTTGTACAGCACGGTGACAAACATGCCATTCATCAGAGTTGACGTATGCTCCAGATCTTAATTTCTATCAAGCTAACACTTCAGCGTACAGTGTCGGGACTTAAGGTGATGGACGAACACAAATAGTGCATTATTGTAAAGGGGGGCAAAATGAATCTGCGTAGCTGAACATAGACAACAACGCCAGTAGTCTACAGGCTACTTGTCAACAAGCTTAAGGTGCTGTGTTGATATTAGCTAGTCATCTTTTAGCTAACATTACCAGCATCCAGCAGCTTTACTCAACTCAGTCTGTTAGTTTGGGGGGAAAACTGTGAAAAGTTCTTTG